CCAAAAGCTTTTAACGTTACAATTCTACAAAAACTAACCACACCTGCATACAATACTAACACATTTCTAACCAGTATCCTCTTTGTATCAACCCTTTGACTCCTAAGAGTGATTAACATCTAATTTCTCCTCACAATAACAACTCTGAATTCACGAGAATAAAGGAAATAATCACCACTGAACTAGAAAGATCTTGATTGTTAAACAAATTCTCCTTGTCGGCACCTTAGGAAATGTATAGAGAACAGCAAGGAGAATATGCATACTGATGTTAGGGAGTAAAGGGTTACTAGTAACTGAAACCTTCTTACCGGTGATATGTATGTTTCCCACTTTAAATCCATCGTTAGATGCTTTAAGGTAAAGACACAAACATGGTTATTGCATATAAATTATGGAATTAATGAAATTTGAGAATTTGACTTGAAATTCAAATGAAGTGAAAAAGCATATTTATGTCTCATTGAGTCCAACTGCATGATCGTTGTATCTTTGATAGTTGAGAAAGAGACTACGTAAGAATTTCAATACCTCTATCGAGACTTGCATCATTCTTTATGGCGTCAATCGAGCTGCTTTCAAAGGAACCTAGATAGAAGTAGTTTTGTTTGGTCTTTGATGTCAGTTTATAAGTTTGATGAACAAAATTATTTTATACAAGATTGGTTTTTTAGATTCTGAATTTCAAGGCTTTAAGCAAGAAACGACAAGGAAGGAGACCTGTTAAAATTAACTATATGGAATTCGTTAGAGGAATTATGGAAAAATAATTAATTTGATCGATAAAGCTATCGTTTTCCTCTCCAGTTTCCTTGAAGGGTCCTAACACCCTCTTAGACACTGCACTAAAATGTGAGGCACGTCTTGCGCGCCATGGAAACTTTTCATTTCTGAACAGTCTGGAATGTAGACAACAAATACAACAAAGTAGCAAGTAAAAAAGTATGATATTGAAATCACATTTTGGTAAGCCGTGCCCCCAAAAAACTCTCTCGTGCATAACATTTCTTATTTATGTCAAAAATTCGGATTACCACATTTATTCACACTTAAAGCCAAACGTGGGTAGGCGTAAGAAACTATTTTCTTCGACTAATTCTTAAGGAGCACTTCATAGAGCTGGAATTAAACGGCAGTTTCAAGTTTCCTTGAAGGGTCCAACCGCACCCCTTAACACACTGTACTGAACAGTGAGGCAAATCTTGCGGCCTAAGGAAACTTTTCATTTCTGAACGGTCAGAAATATAGACCTAAATTTTTCCCCACCTAGATCTTTCGCCTTGAGTATTGAGTTTTCAAGTTGAATTTTTCGTTTTTTGTGTAGCTGACGGTTGGCGTGATTTTCCAAAATGAACTTACCATTACTTTTTTCCGGTAGTTTTTGAGGTTCGTCTGCCTTGATAAGGTCATTCAATAGAGGGTCATGGAATGTTTTTTGACTGTTGAAGTCAGGATTATCTCCACTGTAAACTTTCGATGAGTGAATTTCATTTGAAACAAGAACTACTCCGCATCTGAAGAGTGAAAACGATGGAATTTTAACTTTAACACTAGGTGAGTGAGCCATACTTAGTTAGTCAGTCACTGAGTCAGTGAGACAGACAGTCAGTGAAGTGAATAAAGGGGTAATTTATCAGGAAACTGTGGTGCTGCGTCGGCGGGAGGGGGGGCGTGTAGCAAGATAAGTTGATCTATGAACTGGGTTGATAAAGTAAGTCAGCCACCGTCAAGAATTTCAAAGTTGACGTTTCGAGTATTGGCCCTTTGTCATAATGACTGCCATCCTTGAGAATACTTAACATACGTCCGAAATTTGAAATTGTCGATCACAACTATAGTCACTGGATTCAAGTGAATTTTATCCCTTACTCAATTGTGTGCAATAGACACATGTGCGCAATGGGAACCTGTTTCAAAAGAACTTCGCATGAGGCTTTAAATTACCAGCTGGTTGTTTACTATTTTTTTTATCAATTTTTACCAATTGGTGTTTATATTTCATGTTGGTATCAACTATCAACATTTAATTTTCAACCTTTTCCGAGATTTTCCAGCTTCACTTGATCAGACCGACGACATATTCCTCTATTGCAGATGTTTTGTAAGCTAGGATTGCTAGCTTGGTCCGACTTATCCGATGATGTAACATTAAATTCGTAATCGATGAAATTGTTTTACTTTCTTCTCTCGCGCATGTAATAATTACCTGCATGCCAAGCAAATGAAGCCAACTAGGTGTGTATCATTCTTCCGTCACAATGATGTTATTGCATTTGTCTCAAAATATTCGCATGCGCAGAACACTCCAGAATTCAGGCGGCGATGTTTTTTTTTTCCCTTAATACGCTCTTTACTGGTCGTGGCTTTGTCGATGATCAATAACAGAACTAAATTATCTTGCTTCAGAGAAAAATGATGTAACAAACCTAAATCATGATGTTCTCACTCTACGATCAGCGATCATTGCAAACAAAATTGTTGAATCACTGGAAATCAGATTTTTAAAAATAAAATTTCATTTGCGAGGTATTCTTCTTTTCAAAAATTAGATCACGCAAACTTCACCGTTTCTTTGTTTACTAGATGTTTACAAAACCCTTCCTGATCACAACTAAATTTTTTTGACCTACCGATATCATTTCGTAGTAAAGGGATCATAGCACTCTTTTAGTTGTCACGTTCCCGTCTGCTGTGAACTACATTTCTTAATAAATGGAAAACTGGATGGTAAAAAAATTTTGTTTGTTGCTCATAAACGGGCAAAAATATGTCAAAAGGTTTACTGAAAGTAATAGCAACATTTCATTAGCCCTAAAAACATTGTCACACGGAGAAATGGTATGTCCTAGACCAAGTTTGCGAACAAGCATGTTTAGTGCTTAACTAGCCATACTCTTAAGACGTTCTTCCTTGAGCTTGGATGTAAATCTTATTTTCTTGTTGTAGCCTAAATGAACCTTGTTAAAAAATCACAAATAAATGGCTGTTTGAAATATTCATTCGGCCAGAGAAACCGTTTAATTTATAGAGAAAAAACAACTCCTTACAATGAAAAAAAAAAAAAAAGGGTGGTTCCAAGCAGGTTCTATCTCTCCAAGTCAGTGATGTCAATTTCTTTCGGTCTCATTTGCTAACTTGACATCTTGTGTTGCTCCCCTCACCTGATAGGATTGTTTAGCCAATTTGCACAGATTTTTGCGCGAGTCTTTGAAGGAAGTGAAAATGAAATTGAGGCTTCTTAAGGAATGTTTCAATTTTGGGCAGTGTGAAGAAGTTTCAAATACAGCTACTTCAATATACATACTTCGAAAGATTTTTTGGCTTTAAAAACCAGAGCACAAGCCAAGGATAATCATTGCTACTGGAGCAAAATCATTGCTGAAAAATTGTTAGAAGGAATTCTGCACAAAGACATATTAAAGAACGCTAGAAATCTCAAATTGTCAACACTTACAGGAGCAGAAGGTGGATCCTCATGCCGGGATGGACGGACAATGTGTCCGCGTTCACGATTCTCGACTCTTATCAATAGAACGATTCCCACAAATATTGAATTTATTGTTTATGAAGTCACAGTTCAAAGATGACATTACAGTTTGGCCACTGTAACCAGAAATAATGACAAACCAAGTGCTTTCACAAAAACAAACAAATGTTGCTCGAGAGGTAAGATTCCAGGAACACCACACGTTTCGATAGTAAAATTGTGACTAGGAAGAAAATGAAAAAAATTTTTCCCTACAGGAAAGCGTGTAGAAATCATTTTCAAAAGCCTCAGCCATGCCATACTAAGGATGAAGAGCAAGGAATTAGCCTTTTGTTTGTATTTTTTAGAAAAGCTGTTGATTTTAAGATATTTTGTTGGAAATGTGGGTGGTAGCAATCTTTCGACCAGGGAAATTTCGCGGTATCTATCACAGAATGCATAAATTAGGCCATTATTTTCCCTCTAAACCATTACACAATAGAGGGAAATATTCAAAATACCGTACTAATTCACACTTCAAACCCAAACTTTCACTGGTTAAAAATATTTTTGTAGTTTTTTGTTTTTTTTTCTTCAATCATGGTCCATCATGGCACGTTTACACCCCGATTTCTAACCGATTTGGCTTCATGATTTCAGGCAAAGAGTTAAACGACCACAACAACGTAGCAAGTAAAATAGTATGATATTGAAATCACAGTTTGGCAAACCGTGCCCCCAAAAGACTTCCTCGTGCATGACATCTCTTATATATGTCAAAAATTCGGTTTACCACATCTATTCACACTTAAAGTCAAACGTGGCTTGGTGTAAGGAAAACTATTTTCTTCAACGAGTTTTTAAAGAACACTTCATAGAACTGGGATTACACGGCATCTTCAACAACAATTTAATGTCTCCTACCACATAATATAACAACCCTTACATTCGTAAGGTTTATTATAGTATAACCCAAGAAACACGATAGAGGGAATCTCAGTTTGAACTTAAGAATTTTATTTGTATCAGACCAGCACAGTAATCATCAGGTAACAAACTCAACTTCCGAAACAATGGTTTGAATCTTTAGATTTTATTTACTGAGTCCCTTGAGTCTGTGAACGTATGCGCGTCATAATTTACGATAATTAGGTTGTTTAAAACGAAGCGATGAGAACTCGGCGTAGAAAAAATCTACACAAACTATAAAATAGGATATGTATCGGTTATATAGTTAAAGTTTTGACCATCGGTCGCGAGACTTGTCCAAGATAAACTTCTTCACCACGCTTCAAGCTGGGCGAAGAAATGGCTACAGGTAGACAAGGTTCCCATGTTTCTTCCCGAAGATAACGTCACATTTTACATTCTATAAACCACATACAAAAGAGCAGTCATAGAGCAATGGATGGGGAGGGTGTGTGTGTAAGAGGGAGAGGGGTTGGGGTAGGAATAAACGGGCTAACGCTCTGTTCAGAGACAGGCAAAGTTACAGACCCTCCGTTGAGTACCAAATGTAATTTTTGACCAAATATCAAGTAACAGACTAGTTTATTTACTCCATAAACCTTGCACAAAAAGTATATCCCGCGTGGAGTATTAAATATGACGTTTGACACAACATTCAGTATCTTCCCTGGTTTTTCTATTGATTTCCATTTATTTGTACGTTGCCGTGAGATTATACGGTGAGCAACCTAGATATCTTCAGGTGTAAGGAGTTTACTTTCGACATGTCTCATAATTTGCCAAGAACCAGTCGCAGGTGTCTTTGATGGCTGCAAAATAGTGAAAAAATGAATATGCTTTAACGTCAAAAATACCAAACAAGAGAAGCAAATAAAAAGAAGGAAGCTTAAAAAAAGCATGATCAGCATATGCCAAATGTTAGATTAAGCGCCCAGGTACTTATTTTTATTCAGTTCTAAGACAAAAAGGAGAACGGTGATTAAAAGGGAGCACTTAATGTTCCTTTGTTCAATGATTTTTTTGATTCCTTGTAAACGTAACATAAAGAATAAAAGAAGAAAACAGTTTGGCAACAAAATTCTGTGGTACTTGAGCCTAAAAGTTACTTAATTGGAGTGGCTTTTCAATCATGTGGAAATTTCCTTGAGGAAAATAAGATATAAACGTGTACCACTTAACCCTCAAACTCCCAAGATCTGACTCTTAATTCTCCCCTCTAGCTGCTACACATTTCCTTTTAAATCAGTTATAAGAATTTGGCATTAGATCAGGAAACATTATCTTCCTGATAAGTTTGAGTACTCTCACTACCTGTTTGCTGGATAATGCACAGATATGTTAGGGAGAAGTTCTATGTTAATCACTATTGAGAGTTAAAGGGTTAAAATCCCTACGAAGACCATTATATAATGAAATATTCATCAAAAGCAACAAGTTAAATTTACAGTTTACTATTTAAGTAATTTCATCTTTTTACCTATCCTTGGATCAGTAAACTTGAAGTCTGGCAAGTATTTCCGCAGTTTTGCATTGCTTGCAGTCTTCTTAAACTGGCCATCTGATTTGCTAGTGTCATACTTGACAAGAGTTAAGAATAATTTATTCCTTGAACCTGTGATTTTTCTTTGATCCAACTGATACAATTCCTTTCCACCAAAATACTGCATAAAACCACCTTAAGGCATCTATATTTTCTAGGAAAAATCATTTTTAAAAACACACAAAGGAAAAGGCCATCTCCCTGTCACTCTTGATAGTGTATAAGAGGCAAAGAGTTACCACTGTCAACTATCTACAGACAGGAATTGAGAGTGAGCTAGTAGGTAACTGATGGTAACATGCATGAAGTTATGACTAGAATTTTAGCAAAGGATACTTCAACTTTTCCTTCAAAACCCATTCCTTCTACAACCAGCTCTGCAGCCTCCTTTATTGACAGTTCATCCTCCTCTCCCACTAAACACCATCAATCAGCAAACACAATAAGTTTAAGAAAACTAAAAATTTCAAAGCAATGAAACTAGCACTATCTATCATACCTATCACACTTCCTTGATGTTGTACCATCTGAGCCACAATTGAAATACCCATGACATATCCCATGACAAACTTGCTTTTCATTCATTTAAACTACCATGTATTTTTTTATTACTGAATGAAGTTCAAGAAATTGGCTTGATTATTGCATTAACCCTTTAACACTCAGATCAAATTTGTAATTCTTTTGACTGTCAACCATACAATTCTTATAATGTTAGTTCACAGAATTTAGTATTGGATCAACTTATTAACCCCAAATTTATATTTTTTTTATTCTCATCACTTATCTGGTTCATATTGTATTGATATTGTAAGGAGAAATTCTTTCTTGGTCACTCATGGGAATTAAAGGGTTAAACACAAACAAAATGATGCTAACCTGACAATATAATTGGATCAACTTCAGTATATTCCCTCATCACCCAGATCATTAACCTAGCCAAATCCTAGAAAAGTTAAGAAAGAGTTACATCAGGTCAAATCTTCTGATCAAAGCCTCTATCAATATAAGTATATGTATATGCCTCTATCAATATAAGTATATGTATATTTAGTCAAAAAGTGTTAAGTAAGGGTTGACAAAATTTTTCACTCACCTTGGAATAAATAAACTGTCTCCGTGGTGAACCAGTTCCCCAAACTACAAGGGGTTTGCCTTCCTCTACACCACCACAGTAAAGAAAACAGAAAAATGGCAATTTTACTCTCACTGAAAAATATGATATCTCGAGCTCTTTTCACTATTTTTCTTGTATCTTGTACAACAGAAATCCTGACACAATGAAGGAGGAGCAAACTTAATGTAAAAACCACTCAGGCACAGAATCAAATCACGAACTGTTTGAAACTTAACATTTATCTCAGTTACAATTGATTTTACTTTGCAATACTACTAAGAACATTTTAGGAAGAGTGTTTCAAAGGACTTGCTCTTTTACATTGAAAACAAAGAGACTGAATTTCTCCTGAGATAAAGGATTGTGAAGAATGCAGTGATAGTAAAGATAGAGCCTGTGAAATATAAATTGTTAATTTTGTATTTTAACATAAAAGTAGCCCTTATGAAAATTTGGCATTTCAACTTACTTCGTGCCAAGTAAACTTTGTGAATAAGTCCAGGTAGAACATGAGAGTCTTCTAGATTAAAATTATCATACTTTCCATACACATTGGTTGGAACAACGGAAGTGAAAGAGCATCCATCTGGATACTGCTGTTGATATGCTCTACAGAAAAATAACACATTTATCAAGTCACATTTTGGTATTCTGTTTCACCTTTGAGAACTACGAAAAATAAACTGGAAGGTAAAATTGTTCACAACAACGGTCATTGTTTTACAAGTTAAGCCAATTCAATGATGCCTTATATTTGATTTTATTATGTCCATTTTGAAATGACTGGTGACTTGGCTCTCATCAGTACAACTGATTCAGAAATTGCACCATTTTTTGCTCTTAATCACATCTTTCTCCCAGCCAAAGGGAAAGCTTTACTAAAACACAGGAATCATCTGATTTCAAGGCTTGTTTAAAGTAACCAATCAAATTGCATGAAAGTGAAAGACAACTTTTGCAATGTTTTACAAACCAGCTCAGTACTGGATCAATAAAATATTTATACAGACTAAAAAATTATGTACTTGAGCGACTAACATTTGTGCTTTCAAAATGGATGTTAAAAAGTGGTAATTATACTCTGTGATTTTGAAATCAAATGCTCAAGACTTTCATTTAAAATCGCAAAAATGATTTCAGACCGAAATTACACTCCACTCAGATCAATTCCCATTATTTATCGCTAGTGCTAAATGATGGTAATGGATCCTCAATAGGGGTGCAGAAGGAAGGAGGAGAGTGAAGCACAGGGTTAGGGGAGGGAAGGTGATAGGTGATGGCTGTTGGGTGGGGCTTTACAGACAAATGATAAAAAACCAGTAGCACTTGATAATTATAATCACAAGAGCAAGGGATAGACAGCCTCCAATCTGACATAAATGAAACTAGCTAAAGGTAAATGTACTTTGGGGAAGAGTTTGCAAAGAATACCTGTAACCCTGTGCCAGTTCTCCTACAGCATAGCCTTAAAATTGCACTCACATATATTGACCCCTAATTATCTGCTATTCAAAACTATTGTAAAACCCTCCCATGAGTGGACAAAGAAAACAAAAAAATTTGCAGTAAAAGAGTAAATTTTCAATATACCTGTTTTGCACATCAATCATACGCTTGGAGTATGCATAACCAAAGTTAGAAGAGTGAGGTGGGCCATTGTGAACCATTGTTTCATCAATGGGATATGTTGTCTTGTCTGGGAAAATGCACGTAGATAGACAAGATATGCACTTCTTCACCTACAGTTTACCCAAGGACAAAATCAGTGTACTTGCCTTATGAACAAAAGGATTGGAAATGATATCAAAACACAAAGCATTTAACAGCCCATTATCATATTTCTTTAACCCTTTAAACTCCCAAGATCTGATTGTTCATTCTCCCCACTGGTTGCTACATATTTCCTTGTGAATTAGTTGCAAGAATTTGGTGTTAGATCAAGATAACAACTTCTACCTGATAAGTTTGAGAATTCTCATGACCTGTTTGCTAAATAATTTATTGATAATATAGGCAGAACTTCCAGTTAATCCCTTTTGGGAGTCAAAGACTTAACTCAATACAATAGGATGGATATCTACATGATCAGCTTTAAGATGAAAGTCACCTAACATGACACCCACCTTACTTAGATGACAGCTGTAGAGAACGTTGTCATTAATAAGTGTATTCATCCGCTAAGGAAAAAAAAATGAACTTGAGATTGTAACAACATATGTACACCTGTAGGTACACCTTGCATTCAAATGCCAGAAATTACACTTACACATAATTCTAGTTCATTTATCTGGTTGCTAACCTAACTGAGATCACTTTATTGTTTATTCCTCTTGATTATTCATAGCTATTACAAAATGATAAAATTAAAGCCTGGATTTTTCCAGACCTCTTTTTCTGCAATGACTTCAACCACAGAAAACCTTCCAAGATTAATTTGTTACTTGTTGATAAAAGTTTAATTTGGATAGTACTATAGAAGCAATGGCCTGAGGTGAAAAAAAAAAAAAAAAGAAAGAAAGAAAGAAAGAAAGCAGGTTTATTTTTATTTTCATCACAGACTTTAAAAAGTGGGGAAAATGAAAATGTTTATGATATATTAACTCAAAGGAAAAAATATCATGATGGGCATACCCAGAAATCCAGATTGTACTTGAGGTTCTTGAAAAGTCCACCCACCAGAGCTGCTAAGTGAATAACATGAGTTGGCTTGTACTTGTCAAATATTGCTTTGGTTGCTGCAGCATCACTAAGGAATAGAAAATTTTTAATCTATAAACTTTGAGCTCATCACAAATATTCCTTTAAAGCTGACTGCTGATTACAGTGTTACAAAACCAATGCTGTTATATAAAAGTCTATGAAGAGAATGTTTATGCTCTCCATCATCAAGTATCTTCCCTTAAAGACAAATAAGAAATATGTACAAAGTTCTCAAAATTTCAGACAACATTCTTTTTCATTCCTAGGAAATAAAGTTGATATTCTTTTCAATGATAGTTGACATACATTCTATACACTGAATCATTTAGCAGAAAATGAAAGGGCCCAAAATTTTCATTCTTAGTTAAAAATGGAAAACACAATTCATATAAATTTAAAACTATTTCACAGCTAGTTTTTCAGATACATGGAGTTTAAATCTCACCAAAGGTCGCCATCTTTAGAAGACAGAAAAATCCAAGTTTCATCTGATCTTTTCTCTTCTGTTGCTACAATTTCTTCCAGAGCTTTTCCAACAAGGCCAGTGCCACCAGTCACAAGAATTATTTTTTGCTCAGCCATTTGGAGGGATACAAAGTCAACTGTACTTCAAAAGAGGGTTAAAATAGACTTTACATACCAAATATATCACTGACATCTTCAAGAACTTAAACAATTTAATCATAATGAAACAATATGATTTTCAGTCTAGTGAGGTGTGATGGAAGGTTGGTAACCACAAGTAACTAGCTTCATTTCCAGTCACTGTGACAAAATGCTATTTGACCTCGTTTTGCTGGCTTTCATGTTTGACCATTGGCAATGCACAGCCCTTAGGATTTGATTACCTTTGGAAAAGAGAAAGGTTGCCCATAACAACAGTGTACTCTTATAGCCAAAACCCTGTCACCAAACTTTTACTGCACCTCATTCAACCAATAATCAGAGTAAGTCAAACTGGTACATTTCTTGCCACTTTTAATAAGCCATACAGATGAGTGTAGTTTGAAAACCTTTCTAAAATTGTGAGTGACTATAAATCACCAAAAGAACAACCAATTAAAGTGGTATTTTTTGTTACTATATTCTCAACTAAGTGTTAACTAACCAACACCAATTTGAAGATCCTCAATCCATATCATTAAAATTTACTGTAAAGAACTTATTAAGAATGAAAAAAACAAAGGAAAAATTATGCCAAAAAAAAAAACAACAGAATTTTGATGAAAGTAATGTCCGTGAAAACAAAAGAACTTAATGAAAAAGTGACAAAGGTAAAAGGAATATTGTCAAAAGAAACACCAAATAATTTTGGCAGCAACAGTTAAAACTGCCACAGCAGCTGTAAATATATATAATTTATTTGCAAAAACATCTGCTGCATACATAGGGACAGTGTGAGCAGAAAAACATCTGCACTGCCCAGTACTTTTCTTGAGCTCATGTTTGAAACAATAGCAGTACTAGAAAAAATGGCAAAATTTTTGAAAAATTGAAAAGTGGTGCAGTCTTTTGTACCAAGGTTAAGACCCAAGCAAGGAGGTTTCGCTTAAAAATTTCACTAACAATAGTCCTTCAGTGGGGGCACAAAACATTTTTTCCACACCATAGTTATATCCTTGCACACTTGCTGAAATTAAGCTGCAAACTGTTGTACTTTGATTGCAAAAATGCATTATGAGTAGGTTGGGCTACAACCATGTTGATATGTTTGCTGGGTGGTCCTCAGTGATAGTTTGATTAACAGTGGTTTCAATGGATGAAGCATACTATAGGCTTTCAACTTCATTAAAATTACTCCCATATCAATTATTAAAATAATGTTGCTATGGATTCAAAGGTGCATTTGTGACATGCACAGATGTTTTCCAGTTTTGTTTACATACAGTAATTGTGAAGTTTTGAAATTCAGGGCAATTTAATTTTTTACTGGTTTGATCTGTCCTTTCTTCGTTACAGATACATAACCATGATATTAAAGATAAAAAAAATAAGATAACTAAAACTTCCTTATATTCATTTTGTATAGGTAATCATATGAATTTGAGTGCAATTTGGAATAAAAAAGCACAAGTAAATTTTTTCCCATAGGGTGAGTGCAATTTGTGGTCTCTGAAAAAATTTACAAGTGCTTATTTATTCCAAATTGCACAAGAAAAATTATGGAGCGACTGCAGAATACCCAGCCACTCATTTACATGTCATTGAATAAGAATAGTGTCTATTGTGTCATGCCTCGATCTTCAAAGCCTCCCTACAAATGTAAGTGAGGCGGACCAAAGTGGCCGGGTGTTCTGGAGTTTAGCCATTTGATTACACATTGATAATATACATGAAAAAATACGAGATAGGTTATCATAATTATGCAGAAGCAAAGCGCGCGCATCAAGTGCAAAAATAATCTAATCAAACCTGTGCGTTCGATCAAAACACAGGCAGACAACCCTGTGGGTTTAAGGCCGCATGACGTCAGTTACTGCCTCACGCGACCTCAAACCTGCAGGGTTGTCTGCCTGTGTTCAAAACAACCACGTACGATCGAAACATTAATATACAATGATATTTTTCAAATCTTTAAGGTGCAAAAAAAAAGTTCAAAGTCCGGCTAAACAGTTCAAGGAATTGTTCAGTCTGGTTTGTTGCTTCTTTGCTCGAAATTTCCCCTCTTCTGCATTGAATTACTTGAAAACTGCATTGACCTTCACCAATCAGAACGGAGTAATTTTTTAATGTAACTTATCAATCACAGTATACATACGCTACCGGCTGGCACGTGTATAATTGTTGTATGCTTGTGTTGGCTGGGACTCTGAACTCGATTTAGTCCATGACGTCCAAAATCACAAGCCTGTTTGCTAAACAGGTATGAATTTTTTTTTAATAAGCTAAAAAGAGGTAGCGATACCGCGGCCAGATTTTCGCGGCGTTGACTTGTGGAACAATAACCCCGCAATTTTTACCTTCGCATAATCGATCTCCATAACCTAACATAATATGAAGCGTACACGAAAAGGAAGACTGCGTAACTTTACCTTACAATCAGTCGCTCTTTAAGCAAAGAGGCAAACAATAAGTAACTAAAGCTGATCAAAATCAAAATAGGTTACATAAGTACCTACCTTTCACGAGGGAGTTTGGACGTGTCGATCGAAATTTCTAGGATAACAGAAGCGCTTTGTAACCACCCACTACCCGAAGCGTTTTACATCTAGAAGTCACGCAAATAACTGCTTGACGTAACCCAGACAGTAAAGGTGAAAAGCATCATGGGACACTAGTTACTTCTCAAGATGGCGGCCCAACCAAGTTCAGGTAATTGGTAGTTTATTTTAGATATTCTCTACACTGAAGAAGAAAAGATGTCAGAAAATTTTCAGCATACGTATCAATAGTGAAGCCTTTCCAACCATAAGTGATGGGACCTCGGAGAATACATCGCCAGTCCTTATTCGGAAGTTATGCGGAAGTTCGGCGATGTCGACTAATCATTTTACCCACTGTTTGGACTTCGTTTCTTTTTCTTTACTATCAGCGTTTTCTGTTTTATGTTGAAAAGGGAAAATTTATTTTGGATAAGTCTATCTATTAGATTTGTTTAGATATCTTTTTTTTTAACTAAACCTCGCTCTGTATCAGGTGATTACCTCGCATGATGACTGAGCTATAATTATCCATGTTTATTTTGTTTAAATTTGCTCATCGAACTTCTCGTTCACGGAAAATGACTCAACAATAATCAGATGTAAAGGAATATTTACTAGCTTTTAATATACGGCGCCTAACTGTGGAATTCTGAAGAAGAAGATCTCAGATCTTGAAGTCTTATTTGTTTCAAGAATGTCCTTATGGATCTTTCAATTCCAATCATTAATAATTAGTACGATGAAATGCTCGACATATCAGACGACAAGTGCTTTTCCTTGCTTTTTTGGATCGATACATCTGAATAGGTGCATTTTTACTACCTTTGAATGTTGATTAAAGTTTGGAAAGTGTGTTTCCTGTTGTTGCAGGAGAAAAGAATAACCTGTTTGTTTGCAGACATTGCTTCTTTTAGTGTTTATTCATTTATGATGGTGAGCTGTTAAGAGAAATGTTGTTCCAATTTCTGCAAAAATATTTCAAGGATTATTAACTCAGTAGCATCATTTTGCTGGAAAATATTTAGTTATACTTCAAAAGTGAAATATAGTCATTTGTATTGCAATGTGGTCACTTTGGATATAGATTGCGACATTTTAACTAAATACTGCTAGTCTTTGTCAGGTGATGAGGTTGATTGCATATTTGTCACCTACATGCTGTTGTGCTCAGCTGTGACTGGATGGAATTGTACGATTGTGATTCAGGTGCATCTTTCAGATCAGTTTCCCTCTATGGTACACCATAGAATGGCTCTCCTGTTGTTGTGTTTTTTGATCATTGGCATCCAGGCTTGTGGGATTTCAATTCCATTGTCCTTGTTGATGTTGTTAAGGTGAAGTTTTCAGTGAATTGCCTCTTCTACCTGGGTAAACTGATCCTAAAGATGCACCAATCCCAGCTTTGGAATTCCATTCAATTACAGCTAAGTACAGTAGCATTTAGGTGACGTGTCCTCAATCAACTTTTTCACACAAAGAGGACTTGCAGTATGCAGTTCAAACATTGAGATCCACATCCACAGTGACCGTTTTGTGAGACAAATTAAAGATTATATTTCTCTTTTAACCACAATTTATTTTACCACTTATTTAGTTATAGTTAACAATTGGTTCATACGTCATGTGCGTTCATCGAGATATGAAGCACTTGGGAAGTTTGGAGAGCACTCAAACAACACTTATGCATCTTTTATGCGCTCCAAACTTCCCAAGTGCTTCATATCTCAATGAATGCACAGATGACGTATGAACCAATTGTTTAATAACATTTTCAATCCAATGAAAAATTTTTTCTCGAGGGATTTGTTTGCTGATGTCATGAGCGTGCACAATAGGAATATGAAGCATGCTCACGCAATTGAACTTGTTTAGACAAATTTACTAGCTATGTTATAATTTCTGTTAATACCCGAGTGGTATCTGTTTGTTGAAATTCGCAGTTTTCCTTGAGCTTGGTCCCCAGAGAACTGATGGCTTCTCGAAACAGATAATTTTTTTATACAAATGTCTAAGCTTATTTTTGCACCAAGTACGGGTTGTTGTTTAGATACAATAACAGAGACACATGAGCATTATTACTGATACAACTGATTATAGTTGTGCTGTTGCTGTTTTTTTTACTAGAGCTTTAGCATTCAATTACCTCATGTGAGGTGATTAAGTCTTTTTACCCCTAACAGTGACTTTCATTTAATTTCTCCTTACAGTATTGCCACTGAATCAAATATTAAGCTCATGAGAAGAAAAGAAATGATTGCCAGCTTAGGAGCTTTTTGATTGTTAAACATATTATCCCTGTTGTTATCATAGGAAATGTATACAGAACAGTATAGAGAATATGCACACTGATGTTATGGTGTAAAAGGTTAAAGCAGAGTATTGTGCAATCATCAACCAATCAGACTGAGATTGTTTGGGTGTTTGTAATAATCTGAGACTCGTTGTTCAACAGAGGAGTTTATTACATCTTACAGAAACATCATGGAGTAACAGGAAGTTACAAAAGCTGATAGTAATGCAAAGAATAAAACAGGTGAATGACAATCTCTGGTAAGTTAAATTATCAATTTTTTTCTGATCACTAGGGAATGCGCGAGCTAATGTGATGACTGGTGATTTACCAGAGGATTTTTTGCGGCTTTCGCCAGCAGTAAACCAAGCACCTCCTCCTGCAGGACAGATGGTTCCAGTCCAGCCTGTTACTTATTACCAACCAACAGGGTTCATGCAGCCAATTCAGCCTCAACACATAGGAAGATTAAGCATTACAGTACAACAGGTCTGCAAAGTTCAGTTTTAGTTTTAATGAAGAGTGTTATATTAAGGATCCGCACATAGTTTTAGTGAGAAAAACTAATTTAATTAATTTACTAATTTAGTAATAAGTATTAAGTTTGTAGTTGTGTATCTAGGGATTAAAGTTTTTTCATGTTCTTTTTAAAATGTTGTTCTGTGCTTAAACAGAACGGCCTTGGCTCTGCATGGTATTAGATCACAGATAAAGTCAAAATGTGGTACCTAAAGAAGTACCAAGTACCAAAAGAGTGGCACAAAAGGCACAGGTGAATGTGTCACAGATACACTGCAATATAGACTGAATCTATTATTTTATTAAATAGCAACCACATGTGGCAGATAACAAATGATGAAAAAATGAGCTCCATTTAAATTTTACAGCCTCTTTTTATTCACCTCAATAGGCTAAGTTGGCTAAGAATTATGGCATTACCCGCATGGATCCTTACTGTCGAATTACGGTGGGAAACCATGTGTTTGAAAGTCCAACAGCTCATAATGGTTCAACAAACCCTCGTTGGAACAAGTTGATGTCAATGTAGGTACCTTCATAGGAAACTTAACTAATTGCCTTTTTTCCTTTAAATAACTCCCAAGATCCAATTGATAATCTACCCTCTAATGACAGCTCATTTCCTTCTAAAGAAGGTACAAAAATTAGGTGTTGGATCAAGATAACAAATTTAAATAACTGATAAGTTTAAGTTTTCTCATTACCTGTTTGCTGGATACTGTACAAGTATTATAGGGAGAAGTTACATGGTAATCCCTTGTGGGAATTAAAGGGTAAATGGGTGTCACTTGCTAGTAATTCATAACTTGCATGTTACTTAGGGACGTTGATGTATTTTTTTTTTGTTTGTTTGTTTTCCTAAGCCAAGTTAGACTGTCTTTGCAAGTATGAGGAGTTTCTTTGCTTCTGCATGCTTTGTGTATCTTTATCTAAAGTCTTCTTTGTGGTGTCCCTCAAAATGTTTACTATGAAATAACAGTTTTTTATTATTTCACAGTCCCATGCAAGAGGGTGTTAAGAATGTGTATGTGGAAATTTTTGATGAGGTGATAACCATTCTCATACATATTATTTTATAATAACTTGAGTATTTAGTATGACTTGTACGATTTGCTTAAACAGCAATGAACCTAACAAATGATTGTGTTTCTTACTGCCTCAATTATCTTAGTTGGCTCCTACAACAGCTGTATTATCAGTCTTAAGTTTATTCAAGCGTCAGATCCACATATCTTTATCTGTCATCAACTTCTAAGAATATGGTTGTTGCCATTTATGTACCTTGGAGATCTATGAAAAAGTAGTTACCAGATATATTGCTCTATACGAACCATGAATTTATTTCAGTCTGTGCTTGTTGGTAATTATATCTTAATGGTTCTCCACCAAACCAAAGTTGATTTTATTACATTGCATCATTCTTTAACAGTTGTATTAGCTGTCATGTTACTTTAATTCAGTCTTTTAGTGGTGGTACAAAGATGCATCATAACCTTTCCAATTCCAGTAGAGCACTTTTTCTATTGCTATGACCTGGATACAAAATTATGGAGTTTAAATTATATGTCCATGATCTTGAGCATTTGAATCCCCAAATGTAGTCCTCTCAGAAATGTTGCCAGTGATACAAAACTTTATTTTAAACAAGAACTTTGAATGGTGGAGACTGGGAAAGTGTATTTCACTAAAAACAATTATTATTGATGTAGTCAGAGCGTCTTATCAACTTTGCAATTGGTCAAACGGTCTGTTGTATTCTTTGGATTTCAGCGTGCATTTTCTGTGGATGAGCGGATTGCCTGGGGTCTGGTTGCGATTAAAGATTCAGTGTTTTCAGGAGAAACCTTAGAGGATTGGTATTCCCTTAGTGGAAAGCAAGGAGAAGACAAGGAAGGAATGATCAATTTGGTTTTTTCATACAGGGTAGGTTCATTTCAGTTTTTTCTGGTATGTTCATTTTTCTGTTTTTTTGCTTTCTAAAAATCTGCTTATAATTACTGTTTCTTCTAGGATACAACATCATTTAAGAGACTTTTTTCCATACAGTGCTCTTTTGACTAAGAATTAAATTGGTGTGACAGCTATTATTATCATAAATTGTATGTTTTTTTACTACAGTATTAATTTATGACAGTATTAAAAAAAAGCTGAACAAGTAGAAACCTGAAAAAGTTAAATGCCCAAATGCTTGCAAATAATGATCTGGCATTCTTTTTCAACTTCTTTGTCAACGTTTCTTGTTGTTTACTTCTTTGCTTATCTCCTTCCCCTAGCAAACCATTATTTTAAGTTTATTTGAAGCAAGTTTGTATACTATCAGCTAAAAACCTTTATTTACACATCATTATTGAGCCTCTCTTGACAAGAATCTGTTGTTATGTTCATTTTAGCAAGTATCAGCTCCCCCACCACAAGCGATGATGTATCCTAGCATGCCAGTTACTAATGTACCAGTCATGATGGTGCCTCAGCCAGTTGTGCCAGGTACTCAAGTCCTTTATCCAGGAGGATATGGTCCTGGTCAGCCTGTTCCAACTGGTCCACAGCAACATCAACAGCAACCACGTCAGCTTAATCAGCAGGATATAACAGGCTTAAAAGATATGTTCCCCAGCATGGAAGAGGGTGTTATACGATCTGTGCTAGAGGCATGTAGGGGAGATGTTAATGCAGCAACAACTCATTTGTTGGGAATGACGTCAGACTCTTGAATAATGCAGCTACTCAATGAACACACTAATGAGCTGGAGTATTATTGATAAGTCTGAATTTCAGATGAACTCTGAATAGCATAATATTGGCAATTAGACCCAAAATCTAGTAAACAGCCTTCAAGGGAGAGTCTCAGTGTAAGAAAGAGATAGGGATGTTCCCCAGAAATTTTGAGTTTTAGAAAACTCAAAGTAGGTCAATTGTCCCAGTTCTGTTCGACTCAAAAGATAAAACTTAAGGGGTGAAATGGCAATTGGCTGAAAGCAGTAAATTCTTCCAAATGAAGTGCAACTCGAAAACTGTTTGCCATTGTTTTTCTTTTTTTATTGAGCTATCATTAATGATATGATGGCAGCTGAATATATCAGTGTTTCATCCTGAACAACAAAAGCTGTAAGTGTGAACAAACTCTGAGATTTGAAGCCCTGAGCAAGCAAAAGAGCATCCTTATTTCTTTCATATGAGAGACCCCCCCTTGGGTTGAGGAATTTGTAGCCATCTTAATGTAAAGTTAAAGCAAAGACAGGTGTTATCTCCAAAAATGCTCATTGTGGTCTCATGTGTGTGTCAATTTCAGATTAGCATAGGAATAATTTCCTTTCACTAATTCCCTTGCAAATCATTGAGAGTGTGGATTTATAGCAAAGAAAGATAGTGAATGTAAAGTGCTCCATCATCTGAACCTCCCATATTACACTAGTAATGAAAACTCCATACCTTTGGCTCATACTTAGTCTAAGATAAATGACACAAAAAAGTTTGACACAAGACAAATCAATGATGCTTTTTAAAAAACACTTTTTAAGATTTAAAGTTTCTTTTATCTGAATGTTGATAACTTCACTAGTTTTTTGGAGAAAAGTCTGCTCTAACACACCACAACTAAGACTAAGTGCCTCAGAAACAAAACTCTGACTGATCAAACTTTAACATCAAGTGATGTCTACCGAAAAAAGTACTAGAAATATATTTAAAATCTCAACATAAATGCAATCAACAATATAATTTTTTTTAAATAGTTGAAAATGGAAAGCCCTTGTGATGAGGCATTGCTTGATAAGAGCAGTGCTTTTCTCTACTCTAGAAAAACAAATAATATTAGATGGTTGTGAAAAGTGATTATTGCAAAGAGGAATAACTTGTAAATATAGATCTGTGACCGTTGATATCATTATCAGTAGAAAAAGTTGCTAATCAAGAGAAAAAATGATGAAAAAAAAAGGAGTACAGTATGATTTTGTCTTAATAGTCATTTAAATGATATGAAAAACATCCAATAATCTGGCTTGCCACATTCCACGAATTTTGCCTAATTGCATAAATTGGTTGGAAACAGCATGGGTGCACAGTGCTTGATTCTTTATTTTTGAGGGCCACGGGACCAATGGCACCAGTTATGTACATCATGTGTCATGCTCTTGAAGAGGAAAAGTTTGCAGGAGAGGAGGTAGTAAACAGCCAATATTTTGGGAATTATATGGCTACATATTGACATTTATTATATAGATACTGATGAAATACCAGGATTTTTGCTTTTACTAAAAAATCATCTTCATCGCACGCAGTGAAGATGCTGTTTTTATCTTCCACGTGTGAGGATATTGGTGTCGCCATGGTTACTAACATACTATGATACTATGTTTCGAAAATGAATTTTAAAAAAAGTTGTCTTTTATGTAGGAATTTCATCAGTATCTATCAAATAAACAGAACACACAAGGCCGCTTGGGGATACAAATTTTATCTTCTCGTGCTGAAAGTATTTCTCACTCGTGAGAAGTACTTTCAGCACTCGAAGATAAAATTCGTATCCTCAAGCGCGGCGCGCGGCCATGTAATACCCTCTATATATATTTGCCCCACCTTGGGAGAAAAATGATCAGCTTTAATTAACCAAGTGAATAGTAGAGAAACTGCATCTTCTGTTACTTTCATGAGGAAAATCATAAAATTTTGCATAGGACGTCTTAAAATTGAATTCTGTACTACCATATAGTGAAGTGAAAGTCGTGTTTCTAATTTTGTCTTGCCTCTAAAATTCTATTTTGAGTTTCTTTCTTCTTTAAACTTTTAAAAAATGACCAATGTGGCATGAAATGCTATTAACCTTGACTGGTCGTTGTAATAGTCAATCTTCAAGGTGATCATAACAGAATTTGCTATCTCCCTGATCTCCACAGGATACGTGTTACATAACAAGATTTCTTTCCAATGAGCAATGAGCTTTTTCCAAGTAGACTTCTCCCTCTTGTCCAAAGTCACGGGGCGAAGATCCTGGAAACGAGGTTAACATAATATTACGCCTCCGTTACCTCGCGAAGCTTTGTCACGCTATCTAAAAAATCGCGAAAGTTACCTTCACTAACTACTGTTGGTTTCTTTTGTCATACATAGTCGTAGAATTCAAAGAAGATGACGTTTTATAGGAATGTAGTCTGGTTTGCCAAAGGTTTACGTGAATATACGAAGAACGGATATATTGCAGCGGAGAAATCGTTTGATCCGAAAGCATTAGATGTTGATGTTTCATCGCGAACGTTCATGATAACTGGCGCAAATAGTGGAATTGGAAAAGACACAGCAGCATTTTTAGCCAAAAAAGGAGCCACAGTACACATGGTTTGCCGCAGCGAAACTAGAGGTGAAGAAGCCCGAAAAGAAATCAGCGAATCGTCGGGAAACGATAAAGTAATTTTGCACATCCTTGATATGTCCAAGCCCAGAATGGTGTGGGAATTCGTGGAGAAGTTTTCATCCGCCAATGAAGCTCTTCACGTCCTTATAAACAATGCTGGTTGTATGGTGAACACAAGAGAAGTCGATGAAGATGGTCTGGAAAAGAACTTTGCCACCAATACTTTGGGAACGTACATTTTGACATCTGGTCTCATGCCTTTACTCCTCAAAAACGAAGCTCCGAGAGTCATTACGGTTTCGTCAGGTTGGTTAGAATTTATGTAGTTGCACTTTTTATAAAAGAGAGGTTTACGAGTGAAAATATATCAAAATTTCGCTTATTGCACTGTGAGCAAATTTTGATTTATTCCAAGCTTTACACGTCGCACATTACGTAATCACCTAGTGAAAATAAGTCTGATTTTTTTTAAGAGCTCTAATGCACCTTGAACTTTGCCTTGTGATTTCAATGTAAATAGGCTGAAGCATTTGGAGGACACGAAATGTTTTTCTTACATAGGAACAATCAGGCCGTCTGTAAAATTCTCATTTTGATGATCGACCTTTGTCTATCATCCCATACCTTCTTGAGCTACCTACAAAGGAGAGGGAGGGGAGGGAGGGGCGGTGACTAATCCCTGCATTTCTAACTAAGCCTTTAAAATTAGCTGAACAAGTCGAAATCGTGTTATTGTTTCTTCAATAGATAGCTTATTTATTATGGAATATCAGGAGTGTCTTTTCAAGTTTTAAATAGAGTTACACAGAGACAAATGGCTCTTTTTAAAGTGGGCTAAGATTTGAAGATATAGCATAGAGCAATGCCACTCCAATCAGACATTCACTTCGAGATTTGTATCATTAATTCTTGGAACTGCTATCTCACAAACTGCTTCTAGCAAGCTATATGGGTTTATTTCATTTTTGCAGGGGGTATGCTGGTTATGAAACTTGATATAAAAGATCTGCAGTTTGAAAAGATGAACCCATTTGATGGAACCATGGCATATGCACAAAACAAACGGCAGCAAGTGATCATGACTGAAAAATGGGCAGAAAAACATAAGGAAATTTTGTTTTCTTCCATGCATCCAGGTAAGTTGTTGTGCAAATATAAGAAAAGCAAAATGCATTTGACACGATTGTAATGCCTATTGTGAGTGCTATTGTTCTTGAAGTTGATTAGTGGCCAATGCAATAGCTGAGGTGGAAAGAATGGTGATTGTGCTGGAGTCTGAGTTATAAGGTTTAAGCTTTTTGCTTTATTGTTCTTCTATTAACAAGATAGTTAATTTTCAGTGTCTTGCCCTGCATGAGCAAGGGTGTAGATTAACATCACCATATCCTTGGGAAAATGTTGTGGTAAACTATGTGCCAGCATGGGCCATAGTTGCTTCATGTCATTAATACTGGTAAAGGCCACAGAGACTTCACCCTTTACAAACTGCTGTTACTTTCATGTAACATACACATTTCTTCCATTTATTATTTTTTCTTGGTTAATACTTCTCAGGTATTATTTTTGATCAGAGGAAACCTTTAAATTATTTTTATAACAGAGTCTAATTACACTTTTTTGTGGTGATACAGTAGTTACTGACACCACCATGATTGCACACTGATGTGACAAATGGACAACTGCAAAAACAATTAAAACTGCTCCAGTTCATGTGAGGCAATCATTATCTTTCAGGTTGGGCAGATACTCCAGCAGTGCAGACATCAATGCCAGGTTTCCATCGCAAAATGAAGGACCGTCTGCGTACTTGTGCTCAGGGTGCTGACACAATCATTTGGCTGTCTGTTGCTGATATGTCAAAGGAGCCCCGCGGTGCCTTCTATCAAGACAGAAAACCAGTTTCAACTCATTTACCTCTGGCATGGTCAAAGGCTTCTGATGGTGACAAAAATGAGCTGATGACCAAACTGGAAGATTTGGCTTCCAAGTTCAAGCCTGATTCATCAGCCAACTGACAATTATTATTATTAGGAAGATAAGCAAGGGTGTAACCATGTTGCCATCTCATTTGCTTACCACCATTTTGCAATGCCTTTAGTTGGAACAAGGATGAAAGGTTGTTTCCTTTCTTTGATTGAGATTGTGGAAGTTGTTATGTAGTCAAGAGTTATTGATCCAGATGAACATATCTACAAATAATGGTAACATCAAGAGACCAATGATTATTGTAGGATCTTGAAGTGTGAATTTAGTGCAGTTATTTATCATTATAAAAAAAGTTATCTTTTAATGTTGAAGAGCCAGAGCAAAAAGCCATGATATATTGATTTCAGCTTTAAATATAGAAATTGGGCTGGTGTGATTTACACTTCAAAAAAAAATGAGATAAATTTAAAAGATATGAAACAAGTATCATAACAATTTGAGAGTTCAAGATTTTCAACCCATTTTTCTTTACATGGTATTTGATACCACAAAAAGGTGTAATATGTGTGAACTCTCAGTATGAAAGGCTAATCCTGGTGCAAAACCAAGGGGAGGGAGCAGGTACTCACATATGCAGGTCTCTAATGAACATTTTTTTGGTGTGAAGGGTAGCATCTCCACTACTTTGGTCTTTGATAGAGTACTTTGACCAACCACAGGATTAACTAGTTTTTAATTTCTCTAAGTTAGTGCCCATGATAACTGGATGATTGCTGTTTGAATCTTGTTTTCCCTGTCTCCAGTATTTGCTGCCCTTTGACTCCAGGATTTAGAAAATTTTGGAAACTGTTAGGCTCTCCCTGATATTAATTGACCTCTCTAAAGCCAATGCTAATAAAATGCATCACAACCCAGACAACAAATGATTTACCTATCAATTAGAAAGATTATATTTTATTAGTCTTCAGCCCTGATTTTTACCACTCAACACTGAAACATTCCAAACAACTCTTTATAAACACAAAGCCTTATATTTAGTTCCAATGCTTTTAATGGCATTGAACGATGGATGTTTTTGTGATTTATACATTACTGCTACTTGAAATCTTAACACTAGAAAATTCATAGAACATCTATGATTCCTGTGATGGTTTGTTCTTAACTCTACCTTATCAAGAAATGAACTGAACTTATTTAATTTTCTAACTACACGAAATATGTTTCTTTCAAAACCTTGAGGCAAGGTTACAGTTTAAATCATTTTTCAACCTCTTAAAGGAATAATTTGTCATTTTTTTAAAGGTACTTCAACTATATGACTGTTTTTGTTTATTTTCTTTTCAAATGGAAAATGGCCTTGAATTCTTCCTTTAAAAGCAGATGGGAGGTCTTGTTTAAAAAATGCATTTATTTCTCCTGGTAATGAAAAGGATCTGCTGTTTCTTCTTATTCTTCATCTGAACTGTAATGGACTGACTCTTAAGCCAATGGCGTCTTTTCCAACCTCAGCAACCTGCAAGAAAAAAAGAATGAGTAAAATTTGAACCCACTGATCACAAAAATCTTTGGATTAGATCTTCATTCTCCTCACTTATTGCAAACACTCTAAGGTCTGTGAGACAGACATCTGATTCTTCCTTCCCCAAACCTCACCCTCCAAAAATTGAGAGAACACTTCTGCAGGGATGATATGCCTTGGTATATATGAATATCCCCTTCATTTAATAAACAAACAGCAAAGGTAAGCTGTAAACCTTACCTTACAGACATTGCAAATTGTTCCTTTATATTCAGGCAAATAGGAAGCTTGACAAAGAGGGCACTTCTCTTGTGGTTTTCCCCTATAATGACAAAAAAGATCCAACAATAAACACCACTCAGCATGTGTGCAAGCCACACCCAGTCTGAATAACAGTTACAAAACTAATGCACCAAGGGGGGCAGGAAATCAGAGGTTACTAACAAAGAAAGCAATATTGCTTTGTTTAAAAATGATCACATAGAGAAGAAGTTCCACTTAAGGACACCATAAACTGCCAACCTGTAGAGAGGCTTGTAAGATACTCCACAGATGGTGAAAGGGTTATGCTCATCATATTGAAGAACGTGTGCATCAGTAGGATTCTTGTCACAGGCTTGGAGGATCTTACGAATCTAACAAATGAAATCATACCATCATATCATTGGTAAACACATTTGAAAGCTTGCTTCAAATTAGAAAAAGTGATGAAGTAGTGATCATTTCCAAACCTGGGTAGCCACATCTGGACGTGGTCCTAGTTCCAACAGGCGACGAGCAAAGGACGCAGCTGTCTTGAAATTCTTTAACTGTAAACAAACCGTAACATTAACATATGAAGGCAGAAAGAGTACCCATGAATAATTTGGTTGTATGTCAAAGAGTTGCATGGTCTCACCTTAAAGAAAAGATTGACAGCAGTCCTAAGAGTAAGAATCTGATGTACTGGCTGGAGGTTGCAGTGAGTGAAATATGCCGCCATCTACAATAACACAAACACTTGCAGTAAGCTTCTGATAACTAAAATGAACTTTATTGTCCTTTCCAGGATGTTATATTACATAAAGATGAATAAGCCATAACAAGAAACCAACCTCGCAAAGCCGTTTCTGCTCTTCAAGGGTGGACTGTGGAAAGAAAGAACACCCTTAGAGTAATGTCATGGAATTGACCACTCTAAACATAGTATGACTAGAAGAAATGATCCCAAAAAAAAGCTTCTTGTTCACCTTAGGTAATTCCTTTCTTTTCACTTCCATTTGCAGTCCAACAATGTATTCTCGACATATTCCCAACAGCTGCTGTGCCTCACTTATTTCCTGCTTACTGTCTACAACCAGCAGAGTAACACTCAAGAGAATGGCTTGAAGTTTATAGATTGCTTCCTGAAACTTGCCTCCTGTTGTCAACTGGTAAGCAGCCTGTTCAGAAAGTGAAAAAAAGAAAAAAACAATATTGGTGGTACACCAGAGCCAGGAAGACTTGAGAAGTTTTCACTGTTATTGAAAATAGAACATACTCTTCCAGTACCTCCCTTCCCTGAAGAAGAGGATCAGCCTAACAAAACTTAAAGCATGCTCACATACTACACAGAAGAAGCATTTAGTAACCTAGCTAATTAAACCTAAAGAACCAAGGATGTAAAATAGCTATGTTATGCTATGTAGCAATGCTAACAAAGTCACTGTGGGTAGTCCTCACCTGTAAACGTTGTACAAGCATATTCAGTTTCAATCCCACAGCAGGAAGGCCACCTTTAGCTCCAGCATCTCTCCTACAAAACCAAATAAGATTATCAATAACGGCCTCAAAGACGCATTATATGTACAGGAGGATCTGTATATACTCTTCTCTGGTTTCACACATCTACATAAACAGACAAAATCGACAGGGAAACATTTCCTCATTTCTAAAACTAAAGGAAATGAGCACAATTTACTTCTAGTATGTGTTAAAATAAAATAATCTTTAATAGAGTTCAATTCTCAACAGAGCTCAGTCCAAAGCAAACAGCTCACCAGTTTCTGTGAGGATGCCCCAGCAATGGTGGCCCTCCAGGCATGCCTGGAAGTGCAGTTCTTCCACGACCAAAGGCCAGCATAAACAGTGGCTTGTATGGTTCAAACACGACTACACCTACTTGGTCATGAAGAAGCTGTGCACACAGAAATTGGAAAAAAAAATCAAGAAAAATCTCTCATTAAGGAGTGCATAGGGGTCAGTAAAAGCTGGTTTGGAAGAAGCAGAGTTAAGCTTCTTGCAAATTCTTAGCTTTAATTTTTAAAATCATGATTACACCTCCACATCCATTTTGAAAAAGATGATGGTCACATAATTGAGCCTCTTAGTATAGTCTTAAATGAATGTTTTGAAGAATAACTCAGTAGTGGGTCTAACATGAAGGAAAAAAAAAGGCTCAGGCTGAGAATGAAAAGAATTTACATTTATGCTGCTTCTTCAATAAATCAATAAATTTGAGCCCTTTCTACCAACTGTACAAAGAATACTACATGGAAAAGGTATAATGTTGAAGCCAGAAGACCAAGCATGTTATGAAAAAACAAACCAGGTGAGTGAGAAGACTCTCAGTTCATCTAGCGAGTCAAGGAACTTGCACCAGCCAATTATGATCAAACTGGCAACACCGTGGACTCGCAGCAATTAACTGAATTATAACACACAACATAAAATTTCCTTTATTTTTACTGGTATAACAGTCCACAGTGTGTGAGAAAATTTTCAAATAAAAAAACATGATTATACTACTTACCCTCATAGCACTTTCAAACGACCCAGCCAGGACATGATCAACAGCAAGTTGGGAGTTAGTGCACCACACCTGTAGGAAATAACCACCAAGCTTTCAAAAAGTCATTTTCAAATTAATCATAAAATAAATTGCATGTATTTGGTAATTAGCAAATTACTTTTATATATCTTTTTACATCACTAAAAATCTGTTCAGCAACAATCTGACTTAGATAAAAGGCCTGATTTTACAATATCACCAAAATTATGCCAGACAAGAGTGTTCTGAAATTACCTGGGACTGGCTAGTTCCCTTGACAGGAGGCACAAAGTAACCTTCATCTCCTGCACCAGACACAGGACCAACATCCTGTGAAATAAATGCAACAAAATATGACCATATTTTATCTCAGTTTAGTTACATTTCACAATAAACATAATAAAGAGCTGAAGGCAGGACTTGGTTAAAACTTACCAAATCAGGTGGAAGCACCAAATCTTCATCTCCAACATCCCAGCCACCTTCTTCATCTCCCCCAAGGATGTCACCATCAGGGCCTTCCTCACCAAATCCTCCTTCTAATATGATAAAATGTATTTACATTTGATCAGGATGGAGGATCATAGCTGGCACATTTGACTATGAATAACTCCCAAATAAAGTACAATGTACCTTCATCAATCACAAGCGCTGCATCATCTCCCCAGCCATCTCCAGCACCTTCATCCAGATCTGCAGCCACCATAGCTGCAGCTCCACCACCAGCTATCAGTCAAAGTTAATTTATGTTCAATTAGCATTTTCATCTTTACATATTAAACACAGAACTAAAGAGCTCTACATAATGTATAAACATCCATGTGGTTCTAATTTTACCTTTGGCAGCCATGGCTCCTTCAAAGAAAGTCTTTGCCACAGTAAGTAAGGGCCAGTTACCCTCATTCTGAAGGATTGGTGCTGGTGGTTGTAATAACTTGGCATTTGGGTTCACAGCTGGAAGCTAAATAAAAAGTGTGAATGAAATTTGGTTCTGAGATCATAAATCACTGATAGTACAAAATTTTTTTTCTATAAATAGTTTACTGGTAGTGCCTGTATATTGCCATACTTTGCTAACTTCAACTCAGGTAACTCAAACTTCTTACCAGCAAAAACAAAAATGCTTCTTTCGTTGGAGAACATTTTTCATTAATTCAGTAAAAGTTACATAAATCCCCAATCATCTTGAACTTGTTTCATTCTCTTTTGCAGGGATTTAATGTATGGTGGCCTTCATTGTACAACCAAGGTGGCTTCAACATGCATTTCTCTTAAGTCTTAAGCATAGAAATAAGAAACTCAGAATTGTTAAAATATATCAAATTCTACATACTGTCTCTGGATCAAGATCAAAGGTATCTTTTATTTCCTGACATTCTTCAGCAAGCCCATGAGTAGCAGCTGTCAAGTATGCCAAGGATCCTTTGAGAAGAGTCCAAATAAAGAAAATAACATTAAATGGCAGTAATTATTTACCTTTACATTGACAAAATAATCAGGTGTCCCATTACAGTCCCAGAAATATCATTACCAATATCCTCATCTTGCAAACAGGCTTGTCATTCACTATTTATCCAGTCATTTTTCCTGGGACATTGAAGACCTCATTTCACCCAGAAAACTGATTATAAAAACACATTTAGCCATTTAATTTACCTTGACCAAGACTCTTCAGGATCTTGATTCTCTCCTCCACATCACCAGTGTACAATGCATTGTGGTATTGGCCGCTCATGTCCTTACGGATTTCAGCTACATGCAAAACCAAAAATCAGTTAATTCACAAATAGAATCCATTTATAAATTGGTGCACTACAAAGCAACAAACAGCATGTCAAACTCAGAAAGCACACCCACCAATTTTGGTCATCTTGGCAAGTTTCTCAAGGTTGCCAGTAATAAGATAAAGAAAAGACAACTTGTCAAAGTTCTTTGTTCTCTGATATGCCATTTCTACTACCTGTTGAATAAAATGCAAAAGAAAATTAACAAAA